GTCGATAATTTTCCCCATATTTGACCGACTGCGAAACGTGAAAGATGTGAGAGAGTAGCTTTTTTTAAAAAAAACTACTTTCACGTCTTTCTACAACGCGTATTCAGCAGCACAGAACCTCCTTTCATCCGCTCTGACTTGTCTGAGGGGTGACCCCTTATTACTTTTTGACAAAAAATTGTATAACAAGCATGTTCTCAGTGTTTATCACGATTATATGCCTCTTCCCCTGCCAATTCACTTTTATTTTAACTAGACTCGATGGCTGAACTATTTTTTAACGATCGCCGTATTGATGGTCGAAAAACCACCGAACTCCGGAAAATCGACTGTTTCTTTCTGCCAGGCATGGCTGATGGGTCCGTGCTTCTGCAACAAGGTCAGTGTGCCGAACTAAAAAAATAAAGTTCTGCATTTACAGGTAATACAAAGGTGACTGCTTCGGTATTTGGCCCTCATCCGTGCAAGTTGAGGTCCGACGAAAGCCCTGAAGAAGTATACGTCACCTGCCGCTACAACCGCCCTCCCTTCACAAGCACCTCTGGAAACCGTCAAAAACAGACCTCCTCTGATCGAGCAGCTGCTGAATACTCAATAACAATTGAAGTAGGAGTCTCACCTTTTTTTCGTAACTACTTCTTCTGAGAAATGATTGAGCTCTCATATTAGAGTTAACTTGGCCTTTGAGAAATGCTGCAGACCGTGCATTTTTGATACTATTATAACTATTCACTGGTGCTTTTAGTTCATTTCTTTTGGCGTAGTCACCTTCAAGTAATCTGTCCATGTGATTCAATACTGGACGGGTACTGAAATGTCAGCTTCCAGCCAGCAGCGGGATTTCCGATACGAAAATGGCGCCCCGTTTAAACGACTTTGTTCCATGTCCACATGCCATGTTTAGGCGCACCATAGATTTCACCTACTTAGCCAGTACTGTGCGCCTTAATTCCAATTGTACTGCAAAAGGAGACATTTATTTTCTCATTGCGCATTCCTTTTAGTTCAGGAATCATTGATGACCTCGAGGCGTTAGGTCTTTTTTTTTTAATTATTTCTGCCTACTCTCTGGCTAGCTCAGTTTCTTTTGCTTGTATGTTTTATTTCAGGAGATCTTTTCAACCCTTATTCGCGGCTCAGTCTACCCGATGGCACAAATTGACATTTTTATCGAGGTCCTTCAGTCCGACGGTTCGGAATTCAGCACCGCCATCAACGCTGCGAGTCTTGCATTAGCCACAGCCGGCATCGAAATGGTCGACTTCGCTGTGGCCTCTACTGTCGGTGAGTCGGTTCTCGTCCTGACCGAAACAGTCTCTTTTTTTCACTGTGCGCATGTCTCATGAAATGTTAACCGAAATCCAGAGATGTGTTTTTGACTCAAAAAGATTGATTCAGTGGGTAGGGTTGCACTGTTGATTATAGTGAACCCGTCTGCGCGCGCCACAGCACACCCTGTTCCCCTGACACGACAGTTCGACCGTCCGTTTAGACGATGTCCACTACGAGCTTCAACGAGTTGAAGCAACGCGGTGACTTCTCTGAGAAATACAGCGAAAGCAGACTCGCGGAGAACCTACTTCACTCTCTGACCACTCCCACACCGGGACCCAGTATCAAGGCAAAAGTCAACAAGACCGGAAATAGGGGAGGGCGCAGGCGGCTGGCGCAACCAAAACTAAACACACGTACCAACAGCACGCCTCGCTAGGTAGGCTCCCGTCTGGGAGCGCCATAAAGACCACATTAAGAAGGAGCCGTTGAGTCTGACTCTCAGCCCGCGGACAGCCATTCTACACAACAAGACACTGGGCCGACTGCGGTGTCCAAGT